AGTTGCCTAGGGTAAAATTAAAGGACCCAGTTTTACCTGAGTAGGAACTGATCATCCTGGACCCCTCTCTGTTCCGTGTAAAAGCAGTTTCTTAGGAAACGCTTTTATGACATGGTGGCAGCGGTGGGATCTGATTCACGTGCCATGTTTCCGGCATGGTGCCAGCTGGGGATATTAATCACGCGCTGTGTTTACAACAGGCTGGAAACTGGAATCTGAAACACGCGCTTTGCTTAAGGGCTAAATAGCGCTGTTAATTGTTTTATGGAATCAAACAAGCGAACAGACCTGTTAATTAATTTATGACTAAAGAAACTTCCCTGGCGTAACGTTCAGGCCGAAGCAGGGAAAGTTGGTAATTGTTTTGACTGGAGAAAAATCCTATGCAAAAGGCTTAGGCTGACTGATGCAAGGAGAGATTCTGCCAGTGGTTTAAGTGTTCAGTAGGAACAGGCATTTTTTGCTGTGATAAAGTGCCAGCTTGAGTCATCAAGGTGATAGAGTGGCAAGATTGGTTTGTTTTTTTTTTTGGTTGCTTTAAGTAGCAGGAGTCTATAAGAAGCCAACCAGGATAGAAAAAGAAATTAAATATAGGTTAAAAAATTTTTCCAGCCCTAAGCCAGAATCAAAAGGACAGATTCCTGAGGGAACTGATAGTATCTGTCAAGCTGACAGCTTTATTGTTTTACAGCTTCTCCCTGAGTTGAGTGCTTCGGCTAAGGCTGCAGGGAGAGAGCAGAGGAAAAAAATATGGCTTTTAGTAGGCGTTCTTCACTGCCTGAATTATCTGTGGATAAAGAGATTTTTACAGCAGTGGAGCACAGTATGCTACTGCAGAGTGGAGCAAGACCAAGAATTATTAGTAGTTCATTACAAATACCCTAGGAATTCCATATGAGAAGTGCAGTTACAATATTTACAGAAGAAGATGCCCAAAGGCTGATGTCAGGAAATCGGCAACAAGCTACCAGCAGAGGTAGAGAAGGGTCATCTCTGTCAGACAGAGAGCCCGGAGCATCTCTAGATGATTCTTCCAGGATGGGAAATGGAAGAATTGGCTGTGGTGGGTCGAGCTGAGTGGACTTTGTCGTTTTCTTCGATTTCTTAGAGGTCCTCTTGTCTTTTTTTCTTCTTAGAAGAATCTAGAGACTGAGTCAAGGCCTTTGACGTTGACACGGATTTTGACTTGTCCTTATGATGATGAGGAATTGAGGGCCTGCAAGCAGGCATGGGTGGATCTTGCCTATCAGGTCGAGGGCCTGGAGATTGTGCAGACTCCATAGCAACTGGAGGCGGATTCAGAGATTTTTCCCAGAGGTAAGACCTCAATCTTTGTAAACACAGTTTTAGAGCAGGTTTAGTTAGCCTTTTACACTCGGAGCAGAGTATGTAGAATGTTGTTCTCCAAGACAGAAGAGGCAACAGTCGTGGCCGTCGGTTAGCGGGATATTATTTCCACAGAGAATGCACCGCTTGAAAGGCCTGAAGGGGGCCATAAAAGAATGGGAAACAGGAGGGAAAAATGGTCATGGGAGGGATTGGCAAAACACGGGTAGAGAAGAAACGGGAATAAACTCACAGGGGAAACAGCTAATAAAGAACGATAACTGAAAGGAATTTGAAGCAAATAAATGATTCTATAGGAAGTATAAATTCAATAGATCGCTCTCGTCTCTGAAACAGGTTTAGCAAACACGGCAGAAAAAAGGAACTGAGGGGATGAGTGATGGACGGAGCAGGCGCTCCATGGGGGAACGTCCCACTAACCATGGGTCTTTTAAGCTCTAGAAACCAAAGGCCGGCCCTCCCCATCCCAATAGCACAGGGACCCTCACCCTCAGGGCAGCCCAAAGGGGTTCGTATCCCAACCTTCTCCCTCTGAAAATGGCAGGGCGGACAGACTGGGAGGCAAAGGGTGTACAGAGCAGCTCTAAGCGGCAAAGGTGAGCCACAGAATCAGAGGACACCGCTGCCATGGGCAGCCTCTACACGCACGCACGCACGCACGCACGCACGCACACGCACACGCACTGTGTGGACAGAAGGCGCTCCAGGGTGACTGAGAACCGACGAGTTACGTGTCCAGAGGAGCAAACGGGAGTCAAGCACAGAAGCAACAGAAAGGGAAGGCCTGAGTCCAGGAGAGGGCTGCAGGTGCCCCGGGACACCCAGCCGCCAGTCAGGCACTGCGTCTGGCTGCTGCCCCACAGAATTCACACAAAGCCAACTTTTCTTCTGTGGCTCCCCCCGTCTCCCCACCCCTCGCAATCTGCTCCAATATCTTAGCATGGAGACATGCCGGTTCTGAAGAACACCGATCCCAAAACTAAACCACCCAATCAGAAAGGGGCAGAGGATGATGGGAGCAGACAAGGTCATTGCCATGGGCCCCATGCCATGGGTCTGCCACTCGGTGGATCCACAGGGAGCGCAGGCAAGGAGCCCCGGTGGGGGGGCTGGTGTGACCTGCACACAAACACACGGCAGCACCCACAGACGCCCCTGCTCGGCCCAACCTTGAGGCCGCGAGGAGTGGTGCCGGCGAGGGCAGAGAAGCCCCACCGCAAAGGGGGCGCGGAGGGGGGCATCACCTCCCCAAAGCCACTGGGCGGTCTCCAGGCACTGGGTGACCACCTCAGCTGGGACACATTCCGAGGAGCAGGGGGGCCGGCTGGCCGGCCAATTTGGGCCCTTCCCCTGGCCGCCCGCTCACCCGGCCGCCCCCCACATGACACAGACATGGACGCTGCAGGGAAACCAGTTTATTCAGGAAGGCCCTCTCCAGGCATCCTTGGACGCCCCTGATTTCTTGCTGACCTTCCCCATCCTTCCGTTCGTCCAACCGGATCCTTCTCCCTCCCTGATTCCCTGCCAGAATTTACACAGGCAGCTTGACTGAGAAAGTATCAAAATTACAAAAGGTGAGAAGCCTTGGCAGGTGGAGAGTCCCCGTCAAAGAAGGCGCCAAGCCTGTTGGGTGGGTGGGCTGTGCAGTGAAGGGCCGGGCAGGGCAGAGCAAGGCAGAAAGGCGGCCTCTGCCGGGGGGAGGCCCTGGGAGGGTGGGAGCCGGCGGGTGGGCGGGCAGGAGGGAGGCAGAACCCAGGCCAGGGGAAGGGTGGTTCTGGGCCCACCCGAGAGGCACGAGGACATTAAGAATAGCAGCAGCAGCAGCAGCAGCAGGGAGAGGAGGGAGGGGAGGGGGCCGGGAGAGAGCGGCTTCCATGCCCCCCCTCTGCCAAGGGGTGTGGACAGGCTCTCCCCCTTCTGCCAAATTATTCTGAGGCAAGGCAGAGGGGAGGGCTCAATCCAATTTAAGGCAAAATGGGCAGGTGGGAGGGGCAGCAGAGCCCCCCCCATTGTTGCATAGTCAGGGCAGGGGGCACGATCTGCCCCCTCGGGAAGAAGCGTAGCTCACCAGCATCCTCCCTCCCCCCCCAAGGCAGAAGCAGGCTGAGAGAGCCACCAAGGCACAGGATTCCTGGAAGAAAAGGCGGGGGGGGGCGCGAAGCCCTTGCAGGGCGGCTCCCAACCCAGAAAGGCAGTCCAGCGTGTGTGGCACGTGGCAGTGGCCCCATTCGGTGAGCAGGACTCGTGGGTGAGCGAGAAGCGGGGGCCCAGCCTGCTGTTGCTCGTGGGGAGGGAAGGGTCGGGGCCTTAAATAGGGAAGCAGCAGGCAGCGGTGGCGGAGATCGCTCAGTTCTGCCCCTCGTCCCGCAACTCCGATGGCAGGAACTTGTACTGCTGCTGCCGGATCATGGCCAGCTTCTTGCGTGCCTCCTCCAGCTCCCGCTCCTTGCGCAGCATCTCCTCCTGGGCAGCAATGATCTAAGGGCAGAAAGGAAGGCGGGCAGGAGATCAGCCTTTGCGCCTCTTTGCTCCAGGCGGGGAGCCAGTGGCCCGCC